TGTTCAACGAAGGATAAGTCTAATTTATAATGAGTTTCTTGAGTTATATGTATTTTATTAAAAAAATTCAACTTATGGTTCTTCTTCTTCTATCCAAAGTAACACATCTTTAGACAGAAGTGGATCAAGTTCCAATCGGCCTCGATCATTTAAAAACCATATCTATTTTAGGTTAGTTTTTAGAATTTCATATTCAATTTTATTTATTTTATTATTTTTTCATAAATTATTTATTCTGTTTTCTTTATTTTTTTCAAAATTTTGATGCCAATTTAGCTGCTTCAAGGAGTGGACGATAAGATGTTAACTCTTTCATCAGTTTTCCCTTTTCCCTCGCACTGGAGAATCTGACTTTGATATTTGGAGTATTGGAAAAATCAAAGTATTTTTTATCCGATACTTTTTTGCATGGCGAGAGATATATTGGTTATTCCAATTAATTAAGTTGCATCTGAATCATCCTTTAGTATGGGGGTCGAATTTTGAGCAAGTTGAGACCAAAACTCTTACCTAAAAATGTTGAGATTTTTGTAACAACCTGTAATTGGTTTTATGGTTTTGAGCATGAGGAAAATGATGAAGATTATCTTACTGTAGTTAATGATTCTATTATGTAAAGGTAAATAAATTATTTATTTTATTTTTAATTTTAATTTCATTAATATTTCAAATTCATTATTAATGATTTTAATTTTAATTTTGTAGGGTGTTTAACAGTGAGTCAAAACTTTGGAATTGGTTTGTGAATGATTCTATCTTGTTTCTTCCCTTTAGAGGTAAATTCATTTTTTATATTTATTATGTTTATTAAATTAATTTTTTAAAAGGTTTATTAATGCTTCTGATTTTTGTAGGGTGTCTTGCAAGTTACAACAAGCATCATGTTAAATGCTTCTTGAATGATTATGCGCTGATTCTACTTGATATTGCTTGATTTAGAAATGTTTGTTAAATGCTTCTTGAATGATTATGCCCTGATTCTTCTTGATATTGCTTGATTTAGAAATGTTTGTTAAATGTTTGATTCTATAAGGTTTTGGTAAAGTAAAAAATGTTTGGCATTATTGACCATCGTATTCCCTTCGCTTTACCACTGACTGGATGCTTGTTGAATGCAAAAATGTTGAATGCTGAATTGATGCAATGTTGTTTGCTACTGTTTATTGCTGCATGTTATTGCTTGTGCTGCCTTGCAAATTATTGTTGGTTTGACTGAAATAAATTACTGTAACTTGTAAATTCTTTTCTAAATAGTTACTCATATTAAATTATGTTGGTAACATTTCGGCTTTTAAAGCTGAAAAGTTGCCCGTCATTTAATAATGTTGGCAGCATTTAGATCTTTTGAAATTTACTCATGTTAAATTATGTTGGTGGCATTTTAGTTTTTAAAGTTGAAAAGTTGCACGTAATTTAATAATGTTGGCAGCATTTAGATCTTTTGAGATAAAAGTTCGATGAAGAGATTTCTGGTAGTAAAGATCTGAGAGCTTAAATTTTAACACATTTGTTTTTGTTCATTTTATTGCAATTTTATTGTATTGAACTGTCATAAATTTTATATTATTCAAATTTCCAATCACATGCTATTCAAATTTTCAATATCAATTAAATTCATCTTTTATATTATCTTATATATATATATTAACATTTTCCGATAAATTATCTTTACATTATTTATTAATTATTACATGAAACATAAATTAAACTTATAAATATTTAAATTATTTTTTGATTAATCATGTTCAATAAATAAATTATTTTAACTTGTATGATTATAATTAATTTAATTAATCATATTCAATAAATAAATTACTTAATAAATTTAATTTAATGATTATAACTAAGATTTATAATATAAGAATCATAGTTAATATAGTAAGTAAATATTTTATTAATATAATTATCATTACTAATATTTTATTATAACATTTAAAAATTAATCATATTAATTAGCATGAATTATTATAAACTCAAAATCTCACAACTTCATCAAAATCTTATAATTTCATCAATGGTAATTTATAAGTCACATAAATATCAAGTCAGGTAAATATCATATCAGTTCAATAATAAGTCGGATCATTTACAAGTTGAGTCAATTACATGTCATGTTGAAAACAGGTCGGGTAATACCAGTTATTTACTATGTTAATCTCGGGTTCGGGTTCATATCAATCAGATGCAAGTCAGGTTCAATTATCATATTTTCGGTTCAATTTATGTTCATGTCGTTCTCAGATCGGGTGCAAGTAGGGTTCAAGTCCACAATTTCCATGTCCACCTCAGGTTCAGGTCATCACCATTTTTGACTCGAGTCAGTTTCGAATCATCATTGCTCAGGTCACAAACAGTTTTGACTCGAGTCGATTTCAGTCAATTTTACAGATCGGGTCTGCTTTTTACATCCCTTGGAATGTTTGATGTTGTTTATATATTGGTTGATTTCTTTACCATACATGGACTTGCATCAAATTTTATCTAGTACTACATATTACAATAAACTTTGTTCTTTCATGGGTACGTGTTATATTTAATTAATTATATTGTACATGAACATCATTCAATTAGTCAATATAGTGTATATGTTTTATTTATGATAAATAATGTAGGTTCGTTAAATCGGAAAATTTTCTTTAAGTTAATAAATTAATTTATCGATTAATTAATACCTCTTTAAATTAATAAAATTATGTGATCTCAACATTATTAATTTATAAAGATTTATTATACTATCTTATAATTACTTCAACCTATTAAAAAATTAAAATAAATTATACATAATCACAAAAGACGACTAAATAATTCAGTAAATATTAAAATCACAAGGCAAAATCAAATTTCATACTTCTTATTACTCCTCTGGCATCATGTTTTTTATTTATAAAAATTTAAAATTTTATTTAATATACGGACAATATTTTTTTTTTAAAATCCTGAAAGTCGCGTTAAAAAAATCCATGCGTTCTACTTATTTTGTGAGAGGCGAGTATAAAAGAATATAAGCTTTATTTTCAGACAAGATAAAGCCCAAAAAGCTGTCGTTTTCAACCAGCCATAATCTCTCTCCTTTAAACCATGCTTGAAGGGAAAACAAGTGTTGGTGCATATTATATAAAGCAAAGGCATCAATATTCATGAAGAAGATTCTTCAGCTGTGCATCAACTCAGCTCTCAAACTTCTATTTCAAGTGCTGAACATTTCTTGATGTCTATAGTTAGTATATTAATTTCAGTGTGGACATCTTTCTTTTAGGCCTTGTTTTTAAGGACAAAATCTATTTTCCTTGTACAAAAAGGTTGGTAGCAAGGAGCAGGGGAATGCAATTGGTCTCCTATGGGATTAAGTACATATACATTATTTTGGATAAATGATTAAATATAATTTAATAAATTAAAGGGAATAGAAAAAATTAAAAAAAAAATTACATGCTCATTTTACTGAAAAAAATGAATACTAAACTTTTGGACTCCCATTTTTAATTTCTGAATTCGTCACTTGCAAGTACTCATCTTATTACATGTACACGCACCAGGCAGAGTTCATTTCACCATGCCCATCTAGCTTCCTTTTTCCCACACATAAATAAGTAACAATAGGTGATAGGTACAATAAATTAATTTTCTGAGGATTGTGGATTAATTTGCGGACAAGGCATACTAATTGAATACTAATCCCATTATCTCCATCAAGGATGAATGGTGGATATTGCTTGGGATTCTCTATTCCCATTGTGGTATGCACTATTCAACTTTAGTTTCAGATGTTTATCTTTTAAATCATAGTTTTCCTTTAAATGAAGGACAACAAACAATAATCGCTATGTTATTTTATAACATAGATGATCATGATCTACAAAATGCTGTCTATGTGGGTTGGTTAGGGCTAAGGGTAGACATCATTCATCAGCAGCATGTGATTTTTGTTTCACTTAATGACGGGCAGACTCCAAGTGTTGCCTAACTTTCGTTTTATTTCTACATCCAATCATATTGACGTTGTGAGCTTTCCTTCCAATTAGCTCTGCAAATAGAGGGTCAATATGAATAAATATCCCCTCTGAAAATCTCCCATCTTCGTATACTGTCGTTTTGCATTAAGTGCATGGACAAGAGGGTGAAGCCTTTCATGCTGAATCGGTGGCTAAAAACTGTTGGCCAACATCATCACCTCATGTGTTACTAAACCGAAGCATTGAATGATGATAGAGCAATCATGCTGTGGATTTTCCATTTTGTATGATCAAAGCATGGCACACCTTCATCTGTCCCTTTTTCGTTTCTTAGCATATCATCTTAGCTTTGCTTGCCGCTTGGCTAGCCTATCACCCCTTGATTTGGTGTCAACTGAAGCTTTGGTATATTACCTTTTGTCATTTCACTCGTGGTTGAGTTGACTCTGGTTTCTAGAACCTAGCTTCACTGATGTTGATTCTCAAACCTCTTTACAATTGAATGCAGACGACAGTTTATGTGGTATCAGTTTTAATGCCCGGTGAATAAGCTCCTACTTTCATTGCACATCCTGCTTCGGTGCCGTGTCCACCAGACCACGCCTTGAAGCCTCTGCATTAACTCAACCAAAGTGTTGGTGTGTCTTCAAGCTCAAGCTGATGCTGAACAGAGAAGCATGTCATGATAATAAAGCACTAGGGATTTTACAATTGCATTAGAGGAAAACTGAAACTGTCGATTTGCTGCTATTTTATTAAAACCAACCTCAAAGAACACAAAACTAATGCACCCAACCCTTCTATGTAGATAAGCCATTAAACAACCAAAATCCATTGACTGCAAACTAATGGCCTAAATTATCCTGAAAATCATTCTTCTATGATACAACAAATGTCCAAGGAGCTTGAGCCTGATCACAATTCACAAATTCTAACACCTTCAAATAGCTCAATGTAAAGTGAAAAATTGTATGGTACTTTGAGGGTAAATAGCATGCTGGTTGGTCAATCCCCTTCAGATAAAGATTGGTGCTAAAATCCATGCCATAATGCATAAAGCACCATATTGTAGCTTATATATAATTACAAGAACAATTACAATACAAAGTTCAATCAGAATGGTACCACATACTGCAACGATTGGAGCACCCAACCATTGAATGCCAGCCCCCTACCAATTTATGATCCGGAAGAAAAAAGGAATAACATAGGTACGAGGAGAAAAAGGAGTTATGAAGAAACAGCAGCACGATCAGATTCTATCATAGATTTGATGTAGAATTCTCCTGCCTTGTAAGATGACCTGACCATGGGACCGGATGCCACATATCGAAAACCCTGCACATTCACACTTTTTTAGCAACTACTATTACATCTTTGATGGCTAATTCAATATTCTGACCAAAATGCAACACCTATACAATAGCAAGTTATCAAAGTCATAAATTAACAACATTACATCAGGTTGTGTACATGATATATATCATAATATCCTACGAAGTAATCAGTTTGTGATTAATTTATGAATATATTTATTTACTTAAACTTGGGAATCTAAAAGAATATGATGTATAAACTGATTAAGACTATGCATAAAAGAAAACCAAACAATTAGCATAACATGATCTCGAATCCCAGCCAATAACTTCCCATTTGATGTGCATAGCTATTTGGAGAAACTGCAGCCGAAAATGAACTACACTGGGCTGTGAGTAATCTAAAAGGTGAATCCATCAAATTATGGTGTCTTAGAGAAGTTGTAGTTGACGATGTAAATTTAGCTCCGTCTAATGCCAGGAGCTAAAGTAGACAGAGCTAAAGTTTGGCATGTTTGAATCTTAGTATTATTGTTTTCATGTAGCAGCCTTGCTGTTTCTGTTGGATGAGAATGAGAAATTTCAACTTACAACATCAACCCCCCCCCCAAAAAAAAGAGAGAGAGAGAGAGAGAAGGACATGCAATTAGCATTATATCCATATCAGTACTGTGTTTTAGACATACTACTATACTACTAGTTAAGATTTTATTTGTTTATTTTTCTCATTACATTACCAATAATACCAAACAATGGGTTGCTATTTTTACTGCAACAATTTGTTTCTTTAAGCAAGGAATAGCAAGACATCAACCATCTAGCTTACACAGCTATCTTGAGCAAACATATAGAAGGAAGCAAAAAAATTAACTTGCATACAGGTAAATGACTAAATTGCGCGAGGCAAGATCACTTTAGACTGAAATAGATAAATTATTAGTACCGTGTAATGCTCACTGTGTTTATTATTTTCCTAGAAAACTTTGGACTGATATAGATAAATTAATAGTACCGTATAATGCTCACTGTGCTTTATTATTTTCCTAAGTATGTCCCAACTACCAAGTAGAGAATACTTTTAACCTATTTTCATAAAGCTCTACATCAGACTTGAATGGATACGAGTACAAGTAATACCAATTATTAGAACTCATTAGCTGTCAGCTACAATCATGAATGTCTAAGGTGTTTTAAAAGGGGAAAGCAAAAAGATGAGATGAATTTAGTTTACAAGGCTAGTATTGGCAATTATATTGTCATCTATTCTATCATTTTCTTTTCTAAGTTTTAGATCCCTTTCTCTAAAAGCACTTACGAACCATGGGTAAAAGAAACAAGATCTGCTTAAAGAAGAGACACCTTTTTTCAACAAGCAATTGTGCTCAACTAAGCCATAGACAGACTAAGAAAGTTTATCAGAAGAAGCTAGATAAGATATATTGGTCAGTCATTCGATCAACATAAGCAAAGATATGGGTGCAATTAATGAAGAAAACTATAAATTTTAGAATAAAACATCACTGCATACCATTTCCATGCCAAGGGCTCTATATTTCTCAAAGGCTTCAGGTGTAATGTATTCTGATACGGGCATGTGGCGCTTTGATGGTCTCATATACTGACCAAATGTCATCACATCAACACCTGCTGCTGAAACTTTCTCCATTGTTTTCAGAACTTGATCAGGCGTTTCTCCACATCCTAACATTATTGAAGTCTTGGTAAGTGTTCCAGCAGGAGCATACTCTTTGGCCATCGTTAGAACATCCAATGATTGCTTAAAATTAGCTCGGTGATCACGTACATTCCTTTGAAGTTCTTCAACAGTCTCAATATTGTGAGCAAAGACATCCAACCCAGATTTTGCAACTTTCTCTACACAGCCGGAATCTCCACGGAAATCAGGAACTAAACAATGAAAAATAGTGCAGGCTCAGCTAAAATGTAATAACTCAGATCGGATGAGAAATTCTAAAGATGCAAATAAGCAAGAACAGCCCCACATAGCAATTTTGTTTATGCAAACAGTCATAATCGCCTGAAATAAATCATTATCAATTGTAAATGTCAAATATGATAATCTAAGGCCAATTATTATCTATATATAAAAGGAGCAAAGTTTTACCTAAGGCTTCTATAAGCATTTTAGGCTTCAAAGTTTTCAACTTCTCAACCGTTTCCGCAAAATGCCCACTTCCTTGATCAGCCAAATCATCCCGGTCCACGCTTGTAATCACCACGTAATCCAAACCCCACGATGCAATTGCCTCCGCAACATTCCTTGGTTCATCGGGATCTGGCGGAGGCGGCGTTCGCGATGTCTTTACGTTACAAAACCTGGAAAATCATAAACAGTGAAATTCAAACTTATTATTTTCATGCATATGCATTATAATGCATATCCCACTTTTTTTCTAATTAAACAAGAATTACCTGCAACCACGAGTACAAGTATCACCCAATATCATTATGGTGGCAGTGGCGGTCCCAGTCTCGCCACCCGACCAGCACTCGCCGAGATTGGGACATCTAGCTTCTTCGCAGACAGTGTGGAGCTTTAATTCCCTTAATTTGGTTTTAATCTGAACGTATTTTTCGCCGCCGGGAATGGATTCCCTCATCCATTTGGGCTTAGGGAGCGGTTTTTTCTTAGTCCCAACTTCAACGGAATAGAGATTATTGCTTTGGAGACCGACGAAATCGGAGAGGGTGGGAGATTCAGCGGCGAGGCGGGCCCGGAGACCTGCGAGGGTGGGCGGAAACTCGGGTTTGGTGGTAGATGAATCGACCGTGGATGAGAAGGGTCTAAGCTTAGTGGCGAACGATAGGGTGCGAACTACCGATGTAGAGCGAGATCGCAACATTTTGCTCCTGCTCTAGTTTTATTTACAACTTCTCTTTTTCTGTTGTTGTCTGTGGATTAAACATACAAAAACAACATGAAAGAGATGAGGAGGGTGGGCGTGGGTGGCTGTGGCTGAGCCTGCGCCGGTGATTTGTCAGTTATTTAACGTCCGGATAATTGATTTGGGCTTCCTTTTACACTAACTTCATTTGTTCTTGGGCTTGTTTCGTTCTCCCGTAGCTAGGCATCTAAATGGATATAAATTAATAAACATAAATGCCAAGGTGACATATTTATATTCATTCGGTTAATTTTAATCGATGAAATAAAAAATATGAATAATTAAACAAATAAATTTTCTTGTTCGTATTCGTTCTTTGAGAAATGTATCTTATTCATGTTCGTTCGTTAAAATGTAATCGAATATAAAATATAAATTATTTTAAAATCAAACAATTTTTTTAAAAGAATGTAAATAAATAAATTGATAGAAACGAACATAAATATAAATTTAATTAAACAAATGAATATGAATGAACATACTACTAAACATAAATGAACATAAATAAATGAATAAATTATTAAAAATTCACGAATATAAATAGACGAATGAACCATTTATTCTTATTCGTCCATTTAATTAAACGAAAAAAGAAACCTTATTAGCAATCATTCATTTACGAACAAAGAAACGTTATTCACAATCATTCGTTTAATAAATATACATCTTGGTACATGAATTTAACTTCAACGTTCAATTTAGTACTCAAACTTTGTTTTGATCCCAATAGATACATGATCTTTGATTTTTAGTTCAAATTAGCATTTAAACTTAAGCATCATGATTTAAATTAGTTCAAATAATTCAATTATTGTACGTATCCATACGAATAAAAAAATCAAGTCAATATGTCAATTTTAACAAAGAAATTAAGCTTAAGTACCTAACTAAACTAAAAGGGTTAACTACATGGATGGTAACTTATCTTTGTATTTTGTTTACTTTTGGTCACTGATTTCAAAAAACATAAGATATTGTCACTTTTGTTTTTATTTAAAGATATGATCACTTTTGTTTTTATTTAATTAAGATGTGGTCACCCCGATTTAACTGTTTTTAACAGCAGTTAAATATTTTTGATATAATCACACATAATGTAGTCCTTGTTATTATATATTCTCTCAATTTAGTCATAATTCTAATAAATTAAAATAAATATAATCCTCTAGTCGAACGATGACACATGTCATGCTAGTAAGGTTGTTCAAAAATACTTGACTCGATTGAGCTGGCCTGTTGACCTGCTAACCCAGTTAAAAAATATCATATTTTTATAATAAAAATACTCGATTTTTCGGGTCGGGTACCCAACCGGGTTTCTAAGTCGAGCATGAGTCACAAAATGTTGGTTAACTAGGTACCCTCTGACCCGGTACCCGATTTATTATATAATTTTTAGTTTTTATATTAAATTTTTATTCATAATCCTTAAAGTATTTCACACTAAAATTCTAAAATTCTAATTTCTTAAATTTTGACACCATAACGTTCTAAATTTTTAATTTCTTAAATTATTTCACACTAACATTCTAAATTATTTTTTAAAATATTTATTTTAACTTCAAAATATTTGAAATTTAATTATATTTAATTATTTTAAATTTTAATAATTTTTATTTCAATTATTTAATTTGATTTTTTAACTTTATGTGTGGATTATATATATTATAGAATTTTAAATTTTATAATTTTATAATTTTTATATAATTTTTTTAAAAAAATAATATAATTTAAAGAAAAAAAATTATGAATCGAGTATCTGTTACCCTAATTAATATAATATAATTTTATATATATTAACTTAAAATATCTTTATATTAACTTATTAAATATATTTTACAATTAACTTAATATAAAAATATTTTATTTTTATTTTCATTTAAAAATATTTTTTTTATTTTTTATTTAAAAATATATATTTTACTTTAATTTATTAAAAATATGACTAAATTGAGAGAATATATAAATAACAGGTATCAAATGTGTGAATATATCAAAATATTTAACATCTATTAACGACAGTTAGCTCAGGTGACCAAATCTTGTTTAAATAAAAACTTAAGTAACCATATCTTATGTATTTTAAAATCAGTAATCAAAAGTGGACAAAATATACGTAATCAACCATGTAGTTAACTCAAACTAAAACTAATTAGTTACTAATTCGAACTTTAAAGTTAAGTTTAATTACCTAAATAAACAAAAAGAAAGTATCAAATTTAACCTTAAAATCTAGTACATCTACCAAAATACATATTTAGCCTTCTCATTATAACCAATTTTAAAACTATCATCAAATAATCAACAATTATTGGATTAATAACTAAAGAGCTTTTTTAAACCTAAAACTAATATTAAAACAAAACGTATAATTTACATTCTAAATTATCGAACTTAGAATCAGTTTTAGAATAAATCATTAATTAAATTAATCATCACAACATTTTAAAACAGCAAACTAATCATTTATAATATATACTAAAGTTAATACAAATATAAGTTACCAAACCACCAGTTACTAGAGGTGAGCGTTCGATCGAATCGAGTCGAATAAAAAATTTTCGAGTTATTCGAGTTGACCAGTCCTATTTTACAACTCGAAGTTGACTTGAAATTTGTTCGACTCGAGTCAAGTTTATAAAATTCGAGTCGAGTCAAATTTTCGAGTTTGTGTTCAAATTTAATTATCAATATTTATGATATTATTTGATTTCAATTTAAATGATTTTTATCATCATATACAATACATATATATAACAATACATTCCTGTGTGATTTTTGATAAAAAAAAATACAATATATATTATTTCTTTCATGTGTGATACACATATATTATAAGAGACTCTACTCAAACTTAAAAATTCATCTGTTAATTACTAAAAAGTTTGAGTTATTCAAGTTGTATTTTACAACTCGAATTGATTTTGAAATTTTTTTAAGTCGAGTTTATGAAATTACAACTCGAAGTCATTTCGAATCAATTTTTTCGATTCGAATCGAGTCAAATAAAAAAATTAATTTTTCGAGTCGATCTCCTGCTGGCTCACATATTAAACATTGGTTTGAAAACAATAACGTGAAGGCAAGGAAAGTTCTAGAGAAACAGAGTTAATTATATAGAAGGTCATCAAACTATGTATGACTTAGTCTTTAAATTTTTAAAATATTTTTATATCAATACTCAAACTATGATTCTTACTTTGAATCGGACCTTGAATTCTAAAACATTTGATAGCAATTATTAAAATACCAATATCATTCTATTTCGATATTTTTTTTACCATGTCATAAACTCTAAGGGTGCGTTTGGTTCACGGAATGTAAGATTACCAGTGGGAATAAAAGATTACCAGGGAATAGGATTACTGAGAATGTTACATTACTGTGTTTGGTTGGTTTGGCAGGAATGTAAGATTACAGTGTTTGGTTGAAGGAATAAAAGATTATTGGAATGTATATTTTACCAAATTGTCCTTGTTCTATATTTTTTAACAAGTGAAATTCTAAATATTAAATAAAAATTATTTATATAAAAATTCTATTTGTTGATAATATATTACTTGAGTATCTAAATATATCATGTATTATTTTAATTTTAATTAATATTAAATTTTACATAATTTATGTAAAAATATATTAAAATTTTACATCAACATTTAGCTAAATGTTTACATTGTAAACATTCTTCATAAATATTCATAATAATAAAAAGATGTAAATTATTTTTTTTATCTAAGATATAATATTTATTATATTTTCTATATATAATTTATTTATTTATTTATCTTTTATATTTATATTTAATTATGCATACTTTATCATTATTATTTATCTCATGAATTTATATTACAAAAACATAATTCAAATAAGTAAGAAAATATAATACTAAAAATCATATTTTCTATAATTTTATATTTCACCGTCATTTATCATTATATTTGCTAATATTTTAATAAAATTATTAATACTCGGTTCTAATCTGATTTGTACTTAACTCTTGATTACGAAAAGCAAGCAACCCAATTTTTCATGTTTCCCGACCTGTAATTTCTCTCCGAACATATAAAAACCGACAGAGGCCAAACTTTGAACATACTAGACCATTAATTTCTTTCAGATCATACATAAAGGACAAGTGAAATAGCTTATATGTATCTAAAGAGATACAAAGTAAAGCAAGAAACAATGGGAAGCTTTAAACAAAATTAAAATTATACTAATATAAAAAACAAGTTAATGCTTAACAAAAATAAATGAAGGTTCAACAAATAGCAGGACAACTTTCTTGAAATTATCTCATCTAGCTTACTATTTGAGATCCTAGCTCGTCGCCAGTTAAGATCGACTGGAAGAAAGAAGAGAAAACATACAGTGGATGAAAACTTCAAAACCCAAAATCCATCATTGGTTTAAATAAATTAGAGAACCAATGGAATAGTTTCTCTGAACTAAAAATATAAAATAGGAGCTCTAATAAAATTTACCTCCTGACTAGCAAACTCCGTCATGATATTAAACAAGAACTATTCAAAATTCACTTTATTAGATGCAAAGTCAATCATGATGAAATGTCCTAGTTATTTACACTGGACTAGCCTAAATCTAAGCAATTTCTTAGCTATAGTGTCGAATTTTAGGAAATATACCTTCACATACAATAATGCATGCACACATGAAAGCGATAACTGTTAACTATCAAAGACAAAGTTTTTACTACATAACAAGAACTATCAAAAGTAATTAACATATTCGAAAACTAGCACACTACTTGCAAGTCATATACTACATAACAAAAAGAATTATAACATTAACCATCAAAAGTTTGTACAATGTTTCAGGGTTTTCGGTCAGAACATAATCATTAAGCTTCTTGAGCAGTGATGCCATCTCCTCAAAGCGCTCCCCCGGATCTCCACCACTTGCAATAACCAGTTCGTGGAAAACAACCGACTATTTCGATAGATCATTGATTGTCCTCAGCTGCAACTTATCTGAAAGTCTTTTGAGAATTGCAGGGTCGGGATCCTTTTCTTTCTGTGCTACTGCTAAATCATGTTCCTTTTGTAAATCAGGTGAGTCCGGCCTTCTTTTTGCTCGTCTGAATTGTGCATGAACAAGTTCAATCTGATACGAAAGAGAAATAGTAAGAACATGTCACTTGAATCTAGCTGTTTGTTTTTGTGAAGCTATAATTTCGATTGTCCTAAATGTGCATGGAACAATTCAAACAAAACAAAGAATCAACAAAACAGATCTAATTTTGGCAAAATGTTCGTGGAAAAGTACATGTTCCTGAACTTCCTCCGATATATCAAGTTCATCATATGGAATCTCATTCAAAGCTGCCTCAATGGCTTCAGTCATTTGCTGGAACTTATACGCTATCTGGTCTTTTTGCAAGGCCTGCATAAAGTAATGCAGACTCATCTCAATAAATAATTACTACATAAATATAAAGGAATTTGTGAAAGATAACAAGGTTAATTAGTAGCAAAAAAGATAGTTTAAAAGAACGAAAAGATCAAGCCTATTTCTACGAATTTACCTACCGAGTAAAATTATGCGCTGAAAAGGATGGAAAAGACGATTTTCATTTTATTCGACTCCGGCATAAACAGGTTACTATATTTTGTAATTGATCACTTGAGTTATCTCTTAATTGGGTGATTGAAGGAATAATTACTATATTATGCGCATCTTTGCTTGAATTCATGATTGCTTTATAAGGTTTAGGTGATGAACCCGACAAAGCTTCCACTGGTTTCCTTCCTTCTATGCAACTTATGTATACAGCATAATTATATACTGATCATTCAACAAACATTTGTAATGATATATTAATAATCATCATCTTTTTTTTCACTCCTTCAATCTCTCTTCTGCTATTTCTGCAGGCATATGTTTCCAACTCAAACTAAAAACTTATCACTCTCTTGGCTTATACAAGGTTACCTTTATCTAAGCCCTGCGTTCTACTGCAACTTCCTGTAACTAAAGTTTAGCTTGAGCTGTCTAATGTTTTAGTGCTTTTATAGGCTATGTTATTGATATACTTTTCAATAGTCTATTTCTAACTACTTTTTTTTACATTACCAGCCACTAATGATTCTCGTCAGTCTCTTCAATTTCAAAATCTAAATGAGAAGTGTTGCAACAAATTCTGGCAGAATCGATCCAAGCAAAACAACAACTATAACTATATTTCCAATCAAAATGGGTTCGACCAAACATACTAGAATATGAAAAATGGCAGAATGAATCCAAGCAAAACAGAAACTATAAGGAAACTATCGATCGAGGTTAACTTAAATCGACTACACTAATTTCCAATCAAAAAGCAACCAAAACCTTAAGAACCCTAACCTAAAAGCATTTTTCTGAAAAAATGGGTTCGACCAAGAAATACTAGATTAAGCTAAACTCTTACCCGAAACCAATTTTCTGAAAAAATTAAACAAGTCAAAAATTGTAAAGAAAGGGAAATCCAACATGATCACAAATACATAAAACCAGAGAAAGTGATAACAGAAACAATAGATGATGATATCAAGCTTTATTCATCGAAGGAATCCAAATACCATGGCAGGATTCCAGTTCATTATAAAATAGAGTTTCGATTACTTCATGTGTCCAACCACAGTACTTCTAGTTCTCAACCAACCCTGCAAAAAAAAAAAAGAAACGCCGACTAAATGAGAATAGTGAATCGATATACGGGAAACAGTCGATGAACATTCTTTTTTCTTTAATTTTTTCGAGGGATTACGTACTTGGAACAATTGACGTTCGGTGAAATGGCGACGGGCAATGAGATTCCACAGTTTGAAGGAAGAGCCTGAGCCAAGTCATTTTTGGGCTTCATGTTCTTAGCTGTATATTTTATGCACGCACAAGCAACCTTCTTGTCAGTCAACGACGTCGTCGCGGATGCCGGAGCAGACGCTCCGGCACAACAAGTCGACGGCGGTTTCCCGCTCCCTTTCACCAGATAGTTCACACATGGTCTCAAGTCCTTGATCACGGCACTGCACGGAATGGTAGCATTAGAAGTCGTTGCGATCAACGAAAGGGAGAGGAGAAGAAAGGGAGAAGAGAAGAACTCTTACCAGGAGAATGATGAATTTTTCGCAAAGGCAAGCTAAAGGGGAGAAGAAGATACGCAGAGGCAAGCTCAAGGGGGGAGAAGAATATACACAGAGGAAAAGGGGGAAAAGAAGGGCATTTTAGCCCTTAACACAGGGAATAAAAGAATACCTAACATGTGTGTGGGAATAACATTCCCGAGATTAAGCACACAATATTTACTATTGGGAAATAAATTTTACTTCCACTTGGGAATGTTACTCAACCAAACATGGGCATCTTTAACTAGAAAAAAAATATACCAACCAGGAATAATGAAATCCTTGATCCAAACGGGACCTAAGGGCTCAATTTTTAGGGCCTTCAAAATATATTTACTTTTTCTTAACCAAAGAAGTTAACGGTAGGGGCGGAACTAGGATTTATTATAGAGGGGTTAAAAATATTTTTTATTTTTTCATAAATAAAACTTTTTAGTTTAAGGATTAATTTAAAATATAAGTCATAGTTTAGATACTAATATAAAATATTTTAAAGATTAAAAATTAATTTGAAATTTGAATCATAACTTAGGGACATCCTATATAATTATCTCATAGTAAAGTATAAAATTAACTTGACCTCGTCACAAGCAATTCAAATCCGTTGGCCGGGTGGAATCCATGGTTTTCAGAACCGGACTGGTTAGCGAACCGACTATGCTACTGATTTATTGGTTTAACCGGTCGAATCGGTTCGATCGGTAGGAAGAAGCAGACGAATTCATAATTATTTAAAAAATTAAATAAAAATATCAAAAATATTTAATAATTTTTTATATCACAAGTCATATTCAAAGCAAATCATAACATATATAAGTTAAAAACCATAAAATCAAGTGAAACAAAATGATTCAAATTAACTACAACATAATATTTAAGGTAAAACATATTAAATAATAAATATAATTATATAACTATAATTAAAAAATAAATTTGGGCCTAAAAAAATCATAACAAAATGATATTGTTTGGTTTAATTTTTTTTAAAACAATCTCACATGGCTAAGAAACATAGAAGAGCATCCCAAAAGTCTAAAGAGTAAAAATATGAGAACAAATAATCTCACATGGCTAAGAAACATAGAAGAGCATCCCAACTAACTTTTATAAATAATAGAGGTAATTTGACATTCAAAATCATGGAGCCTTTTAGTGAGCATTGAGTGAACTATTCTTTCACTTTAATCAAACTCGAATTTTAGGCTTCAATCGAGCTTCTAAATTTTTTTTTATTTCAAGCATTTTCGAGTTCAAGTTTCAATATTATATTTCGAGTTCGAGTTGAACTTGATAATTTTTAGCTCGTGAGTTTGAGTCGAGTTGAGCTTATTTTTAAAGTTTTCAAGTTCGAGTCGAGCTCAGCAATACTCGAGTTCGACTTGGCTCGTTTAACAAACGACGTCGTTTGGTTTAATTTTTTTTTAAAAAAAAAAAACAAAATTGACAGTTTTTTCCGGTTTTCAGCCGGTCCGGTTCGAACGGTTCAACGGTTCCGGCTGGTTCACTAGTAACGGTTCAACCGTTATAAATTGAACCGGATTAAGCAATGATTTTCGATTAAACCGACCGATCCGGTCCGATTTAAAACAATGGTGGAATCAGTGTTGACTCGCCTTACTTGTTTGCAGGGCAATCAAAAGTGGACTTTCATAGTAATTATAAAAAAATCATAAATAAAATTTAAATAGAAGAAAAATATTTATTTTTGGTTAAGTTATTCTATTAGTCCTTATATCATCTATAACTTATGAATTTGATCCTTATATTCTAATTTATAATTGTACTTTTTAAGTTTTGATATTTTAATATTGACCCAAATTGTTAAGAAATTTTTTATTATCAGTCTTTATTTTATGTGTGAGTTGCAGAATTAGTTATTATTCTCTAATTTGATTGTTTTAAGACCATATAATTTATTTTATTTTTATATATCATTTAAAATATGATTAAATTTTAAAATTTTTAAAAAATATAAAAACTAAAAATAATTAAATTAAATATATAATTAAACATATTTAAAAATAAAATAAAAAGTAGTCTTAACAAGTAAAACAAAGCGGAATCGGCCCAAATTGGACGTTAACTAACCTATGACTCAAGCCCATTAGAATTCGAATTTACAAACCCAGTTGGCGTTGCGACTTTCCTTAATCCTTTCTCTTTCCTTGCACTTTTCCTTTATTCTCTTTGAAATCCATCTTGTTAACCGTCTTTATCACCAAACATTATATTTTATTCTCAGTGTCTCAAATTCAGATCTATATCTCATTGTGTTAGTGTTAGTAGCTCCATTCTTGAGGTCCGATGAGTCACTTCGATTCCAACCCTTTCGAGGAGGAAGAGGTCAATCCTTTCTCGGTAAGTTTCATACGCACGTTTAGTATTCCAGTTTTTTCATGACATGTCAATTCCTCCTATTGTAGATTTGCACATCTTTCAGATTTCTCTCTATGAGATTTGATCTGTAGGCTTTGTGGACTTGGATGACTGATTAGCTAAATTGCTAGATCTGTTTCGTTTCTGCTGCCGATTGGAATTTTTTCATGTTAGAATTAATTTCGTTTAAGTAAGGTTTGTTGTTTTTCATAATGTAGCTCTAGTAACTGTGTTCGTGTATTTTTTCTCTCTTCGTTTTTGTGAATGTAAAGCTACTAAGTGAAAGATACCGAAGTAAGACTGTAGTAATGCCATTATTCTAATAGTAAACTTTGTTCTTGATACGTAAAACTAAAAACTGTGATGATGTGAATTCATTTTACTTGTTTTTCTTAAGCTTGAACACACTGAACATTTCAGTGGCAATATTAATGGGTTCAGTTTTAACTTGTGCATGATGATTTTTTTTTATGCTCTTCATTGTTGTATTTGCTTTGAATGATCTGTATGGTTCCTTTTTATTTATCGCAGGATCCGACAGTTAGGAAAGGGACAGGACAGTCAAATTTTGGTGGAGGTGCCTTTTATACTACTGTAAGGACTAATTTCCATACAATTGTGTGGTTACTTCTACTGCATAATGTTTGATAGTTTCAGTCGGTGGGAATAGGAAAAACCGATGGTACGCATAGAATGGTTGACATACTGACCTATTCTGTATGTGTCTAGTAGTGCATAACTGCATAGGTTGATTGCAGTGATTAGTGAAAATCGATCATTGATTTTCACATGTTAATCACGCTTTGACATTATTCTAACTAATTAAGGCTAGTGAGACTAGATTATAGTTTTCTGGTTGTTGCAATGATTTGTTTGGTTATCATTACGACAAAGATGCAA